GAGGTTAGGTGAGAGGACCAATAATGGAGGAAGAGAGATGAAGAGAAAGAGGGGCGGCCAAAATTAGGATTTTTGTCCAGAGAGGCGCTGTATATCTTGATCTGAAGAAAAAGACGTTACTTTAACGTGGTTCAGCAAATCCCTTAATCAGCATTAAGAGATGGACTTTACATTAACGTTTCCTCATCAAATCCCTTAATCAGCATTAAGAGACAGACGTTACATTAAATATAATTTTATTTAAATTCATAATTCAAATAAAATAGAAATAATAAATCTCTATCTAATCATATTAGATACAGATAAGGATAATTCAAAATTATCCTTAATTACCTAACCTCTTGAATTTAAATAAAATTAAATTCGATTTTATCCTAGCCCGCAATTTAAATTTGAATTCAAATTCGAAATTCGAAAATTCAAAATTCAAATTTCGAATTGCGCCAAAAATTTATTTTGGCCAAGTCAACTATTTGACTTGCTAGGATTCATGGCCCAATACCGTATTGGGCCTACTAACACATTTGGGCTTATTAATAGAAAAATTAATCTTTCATTAATAGTCCAAAGGCGCATGATGATATTGGACTTCCCAATTACACCTATAGTCTTGAAAAACCCAATAACACTTATTGGTCCAAACTTGCTAAATGTAAGCAATCAAGAATAACCTTAGTGTGTGACCCATTAGGCTCAATTAGTCACTGACATAAATAAACTTGAACCAATTAAACTCTTTTAACGGGCCCAATTTATCTAATGACCACATAAGACACTAGCAATGCTCTGCAGCCCCAGAAGTAATTGAGTTGATCAAGTGATCTACCTTTCTAATTTGGATACCGTGCCGGCATCATCCCTCACAACGTCATTCACATTTAGTCGAGAGCAAGGATAGAGTATCATCTCTCTTTATTGACTAAATATAATATTTCACAGGAACTAGGAATCTTCTTCCATTGACTCTAAGATACATCATGACTTTTCATGATCTCTTACTATGCATAGATTCCCGAATCAACTAGAAGTCATCCAAGCCCTACCAGCCTTGTGAACGACTAATCCCTTATAGGGGATTGTGAAGTCCTTTCGGCATGTTCATCTATACTCATATATTCGAGTCATACCCAAGAGTACACTGTTCTCCCCATTTTTCATGCGGATAAAGTTGTACAGTCAAAGTATAACTCTAGGACATAGTATTCGATGACATCCTTAAGTCTAGGACGATCTGCACTACCAAACGATGAGAGACTTTACAAATCCAATGATACTCTCTATAATGAATCCTTGTGGAGTCTCTCGGTGGGTCAGTTCAGTGCTATCTGTTCTCTAACAGATCCACCCACGACATCACCTAAAGCATCACCATGCCTGCATTCTATGAGGTTCCTACCTCGTATCTTTATTAAAGTAAATGACGTCGTACTAGTCTTATTGAGATCACCAATACCCTTTTTTGGTGATTCAAGACTAGGAACAGATTTTAGATAATAGACATACAGTGTCCTCGAGTCCTCATGATTATGATCCCTATCATAGATCCCCAAGTGAACACATGTTCTATTCATAGGGTCTTTATCTTTATTCACATATTAACAATAAAATATTGGCGAGACATAAATATGATAAAGATAAAGTTTGCTCAAATTTATAAATCATGAAATACCACTTCGAAAAAAGTGTTCATCTGATAAAACAGATTGTCTCTTGGACACCTATATACTAATAGTCAGAACCTTTGGAGTTGGTTGTGAGCTCCAAGAGCCTTCCATTTCTGAGTTTAAAGCTTTGGTGAGTTGCCTAACCTTGATCACGAGTTTAAATGATTTAAAGGTGGTGTCTTTGCATGTAAATGGGTTAAGCAAGTAACTAACATGTGTATGAACCTGTATAGACCTTAAAATGGAGTCTTGAACGCATTTAATTGGTAAAAGTTGGTACCTTTGTTGGATATCTTCGCGAAATATCTGGATATTTGGTCGATAAATATCCGGATATTGATATCTGGATATTGCCAGTGAGATATCCGGATATTGATATCCGGATATTCCCCCGACATATATCCGGATATTCTGGGATTTCGTGGAACAGTAAGGTACTGTTCATACAGAACTGAGCTATGGGTTTGTGGACCCTATTTTGATGGAGTTGAACTTCTGTAAATACTTAACTAAGTCAGAATCAAGGGATTAAGGGCTTATGGCTTTGTGGAAAGCCTTAAGACGTAAAACGTAAAAGGAAAACGTAGTCTTTATGTTTATGCTATTGAGCTATGAATGTTGATATGCTTGTTGGTCCTAAATCAAATTGTGATCTGCTGTGTTTGGACATTGAGCTTGTGTGGACTTGACTTGGATTGATTGCTTAAGAGGTAAGCTTTCGTGTCCTCGGTTTAGCCATGTTGTGGTTCCACCGTGTCCCATGAGGGTATGGTTATATGCATGCTGTGTTACATGCTTTGGATATTTGAAATGCTGTTGAGCTTTATGTGTAATGACTTTTAATATGCATGTGTTGTTCCATCTTGACGGTAAGCCTGAGTATGTGGCGTCATACAAGACGGTGATCCGGGGTAGATGCAAGTAGCGTCTTGCACTATGTGTGGGTATTTGGCGTATATAAATCCTGCATTTCTCTGGCCAGTAGAATAGAATTGACACACATGACATGATTATCTGCTGCATTGCACTATTTTAGAACTGATGATGATAAACTGCTTTTGAACTTATATTGCACATGTAAGTGAGCTTGGGGTGGAAGATCCTTGAGGACCCCATGCCTTACTGAGATTTCTTGTTTAGAGATCTCTCCCCACGTTTGGGGAATGCTTATTTCAGGTTCAGGTAGTATGGGGACTGATGTCTCTGGCGGCAGGAGGCTAGAGCTTAGTTGATGTTTAGTGCTGTTCATATTATGCTGGCATGACTGGATTGGATGCTGTTTATGTTTTTCGCCTTTATCTTTATGTTGCTGTTGAGTTAAGACTTATGTGGGCTTTGTTGCCTTATTTGGGGTGAGCATGGGAGTTGTCCATGCCACCATGTTGTTAGTACTTTTGAGTTGAGTTGTATAAACTGCTAGTTGGTCCGGTCTACGTGTTGTAGTTCAGTGACTAGAGACATATTTATGTTATTTTAATTGATGAGGTATTCAAGTTAGCTGTTTATTGCAATATACATACATGCGATGTTTTGAAAATGTTTAAGTAATCAAGTTGGTAATGATTAATGACATCATAATTGAAAAGAAAAAGGTATTCCGCATTTTTAATTAAGCGCAACTTAATACGATAGTATGATAACATTACCGGATATATACGGGGTGTTACACATACCTTCCACATGACCCAGGGCGAGATGACCATTACGTTGCAGGATGTTGCGGCTATATTGGGTTTTCCGACGAATGAGAGAGTGGTTACGGGTGTTACATCTACGGACTAGCGGGTCCTGGGCCAGGAGGTGCTTGGTCACGCCCCCCTCGGTTTAGAGCAGCCGTACGGGGATGTTAAGCTCTCATACTTTGATAGACATTATGCGCATTGGGGTGCAGTTGTTGCGGATCCACAACAGGTTATATTTTTTACTAAGGCTCACATTGCGCGTATATTAGGGTCATGGCTTCTTTGCGACAAATATGGAGGTAGCATCGTCGGATGTCGCTATATTGCGTTGCTTGCAGGATATTTTGGAGATGTTGGACATTATATTCTAGGATTTGAGTTTCATGAATACCACATTCATCATCGTTGTCTGAAGCGCTAGCATCCTCAACAAGAAGTTGATCTTCCATTGCAATATTTTCATCATCGTCATCATCACCATCATCTTACATAACCCAGGTAGGGTCATTTTCTCCTTCGACAGACAGATTAACAACTGGAGTAGCAGATGATGATGCATTATGTGCAAAATCTAAATCAACTGACCTCATGGGTAAAGCTGCATCCTTTGCTTCGGCAATATCCACGTATAACTCTAAAAAAATCTTTCCTTGACTAGTTGAAAAACTCTTCGATTACCATTTCTACGTCTTCATCGTCAACAACTTGCATACTAATGTATTGTGATTCACACCATATTCTTGTTGTGACCATATTGATAGATTGCTTACCTTTAAGTGCTAACTTTTGATGAATTTTTTGATGTAGTTCGCTAACTGTTGAGTTCTGCATGATACGAGTTGGCCTTTTCTCGCCTTCAAAAATGACACCACGTTGACCTTCGATTTTTCTACCATTATAATATAAAACAACACGAACAAAATCAGAATGTGAACTCATTCTTAACTATATTAATAAAAAAACACAAAACAGAGTATGCATAAGCAAGTGAGACTGCATCGAAGATTAAGAAGTTAAGATGTAGAAGAGTTGTGATGAATGTGGAGATGGTAGGTGTTTATATAAGGAAATTTGGAGCCATTCACGCGTAGAATGGACAGGAGAGGGGGTTGAGTCACGCCCAGATGGGGTTGAAAAATGCAGTGATTCACGACTGCATAAGGCGTGATTAGTCACGCTTATTTTGGTCGTGAATGATGTGGCATTCACGCCTCATTTGGACGTGAATTTTCCCGCCCTTTTTTAGGGTGAATGAATGCTACAGATTCGAAAATAGTTTCCAAACTGTCATATATCCGTAATTATTTATTAAAATAGTAATATTTTAATTATTTTTTTTCCATGAACATAACCACTTCATTAATGTAACCACCTTGAATAAAAGTATTAAGACCTAATTATTTGAATTGTGCATGTCATGTTATTTTAAACATTGAAATTTTTTTTTAATAAATTTTAGCTTAAATAAATACAAAAAAAAATTGATAAAAGAAGTTTAATAAAACTTATATCTTAAAAATTAAATTAATAAATAATATTTCACCTGCATACCGATCGGAGTCCAACATCTAGAAAGACATGAATATGACTGGAACGTTCCAATCAACATTAGCGGTTAACAATACCAGACCTTCATTCAAAAGCCTCTCTTCTTCTTCTAACAAGCATTGTTCGCTAACCAAACAAAGAAACAGTTAGAGTTTACTTAGTTTATAGATATGGCCGTGGAAGCTGAGGCTGCCACCGCTCCTACGTTGGCGCTCGCCGATACAGATATCAACTGGGACAGGTTCTTTCCTTTTTAATCCTTTCCTTTTGTATTTGTGTTCCTTTTTCACACCATTTTCTAACTAACCATCTCATCTCTAACATATTCCTTCAACTAAGAGATACATAAATATTGTACATGCTCATTTTTTGATTTCAGATTATGTTAACTTGATTATATTAGAAAGTGAAGGTGGTTAGGATCAAACTCGTGACGTATGATCACGTAGGTTATGATGGAGTTTTATCTTATATTATATCTCTCTAAAGTTTTAGGTGAGATTTTCTTATCAATAGTTTTATATTTATCTAACACAGTTGTTGTAATTTGCAATTCTAATTTTTTTTAATTGGGTTTAATATGCTGTTTTTTTTTTTTTTTTTTGGTCAGCTGTCTTCCATGTGATTATGTTTGTATGCTGCAAAAATTAATTTCCTTAAATCAGTGTTAACAATTTTTTTTTGGTTTCGAATTAGGTTGGATAAGACCAAGTTTCATGTGATTGGTGCCATACTGTTTACTGCACAATCAGCATTGCTTCATCCAACGTCAGTGGTGAAGACAAGAATGCAAGTAGCTGGGTCTGGATTCTCTGACATGAGAGGAATGTCAGTGTTTGCTCACATTTTGAGGAGGGATGGTGTTCCTGGAATCTTTAGAGGTTTTGGCACTTCTGCCATTGGATCAGTGCCTGGTAGGGTCTTGGCTCTCACATCTCTCGAGATGTCAAAAGACGTTATGATGAAATACACTCAAGGTAGTGATATGCCAGAAGCATCACGTATTGGTCTTGCAAATGGGGTGGCTGGCATGTTGTCAAATCTGGTATCTTGTGTATACTTTGTGCCTTTGGATGTGGTACGAAATCTCTTACTCCAATAACCAATTGTCAATCTATTTTTTCCTTCTATCTTGTTTCTTGGTACAAAAATTGCTCTCGCCCCACTCTTGCTAGTCTGAGTTTAACGGGGACTGGTTTCTCTTGTTTCTGGGTATCATTTTGTTTTGTTTTATTTTATTTTTGTGTGATGCAATGAATGTTCAGTTCCTTTGTACCAAAAACTGGAATGGATGTTCTGGTAGTAGGATTTGGAAGGCAAAAGAAGAAAGGATTAGATAATGGCATGCCAACAAATTGGTAATGCATAGTGTGGTTGTATTATTAATTTGAAACAGAATAAGTTGCACATGCTCTTCTTGGATTTTCTGTTTCAGTTTATAAACTTTGTTGGTGATCTGACCAATTTATTTTAGTCTTCTGAAGAATGATTAATGGGGTTTTCTTCTTCCTTTTCGTCCAGTTTTCGATAGTATTTGTTTTTTTTTTGCAAAAGTTAGCTGGGAATGCAAAGCAAATAGTAGTTTTTGCTGTTTCTAGATGCTTTAAAGTTGCTTTGCCATTTGTCTACAAATATTCGAGCTATAGATCTTTTTTAGCAATTGTAAATTTATAATAGCTAAACGAGTCTTCTTTACAGGCTTTCTCATAAGCTGTTTGTGTGTTATTTCTAAAACGATCTAAAAAGTACTAATGGGTACTCTGTTCTAAAGGAATCCGAGTTATGTCTATTTTCAGCATTTTTTATGGGAGAAGTACAAAATTGTGAAAAAGATAAAACTTCACTTGTTTGACAGGAATTTCTTTCGCATGTGTTCTTAAGTCTTGGCTGATCATCCTAAATAATTTTGTTTAATGTTTTCTCAGATCTGCCAGAGGTTAATGGTACAAGGTCTTCCTGGAACTACATATTGTAGAGGACCATTTGATGTTATCCGTAAAGTTGTAAGGGCAGAGGGTTTTCGTGGCTTGTATAGAGGTTTTGGATTAACAGCTGTAACCCAGTCCCCAGCATCTGCACTGTGGTGGGGTTCATATGGTGCAGCACAACACATAATTTGGAGGTGCATTTTGTCTTAGAACAATCTATGTCCTATGAAATATTATAAGAGTTGCTTCCTTCCTTTTTCATTTTAATTTATACATGTTTATTGGTTTTAGGAGTTTGGGCTACAAAGATGATATGGAGAACAAACCTTCACATGTGGAAATGGTGACAGTTCAGGCTACCGCAGGGATGGTGGCTGGTGCTTGTTCATCTGTTATCACTACTCCCATTGATACTGTAAAAACACGTCTTCAGGTACATGAAACTTCTTGTTTTTTGGATTTGCTGTTGTTAAAGAAGAGGTTTTTAGTATTTGAAATTGGTATTGAAATGTCAAAGTCAAATTAATCAGTTGGTATTTTTTTTATGGAGTAGCTCTTTTTTTTTCTTTTTTGATTTTGACTGTAATAATTTTGGATCTGTCCCTTTTGATTTGCGCAAAGGTTATGGACAACTATGGTTCTGGAAGACCATCAGTATTGAAGACAACCAAGACTCTCCTTAAGGAAGATGGATGGTGGGGATTTTACCGGGGTTTTGGACCTAGATTTTTAAATATGTCACTTTATGGAACAACGATGATTGTTACTTACGAACTGATAAGTAAGTCACATCTTTGCTTATTCATTTTGGCATTTGAGAATGGCTAGTTGATATGACTTCATTTTGGTATATTATTTACATGATATGATTTCAACTTTGTTATATGGGAATGTTCTTGACTTCAATCAAGCTTTTAGCTTTAGTTATTTTATTTGAATGTAACATCTTCCATGGCAGTCTTCTTGAAAGAATGTTGCCCCCTTCTCCTCCCTTGTTTTTCCCCTCATCAAGAGTTCGTGCATTGAGAATGTTTATTGAGTTTGTTCCTGAACTCTTTGTTGCTCAGAAAGCTGATTTCAGAAAAGGATGGTTCTAATATATTTCTTTCAACTTATAAGTGCTATTGTGCCAAGTGTCTTTGTAATGATCTTGATTCTGAATGATAATTCTTATCTTTTAGGCTTCATTCTGATACAGTTAAGCTTTATTTGTTTTCTCTTTTTAAACCCTTTTAACAGAGAGATTATCAGTTCAACCAAGTTTGAGGCCTTTTGCTTAAGAAGTGCAACTATACAAAGATTCAATACACTTGATTTTAGCATGTTTATCTTGTGTACAACGACAACAATTGATGGATCCCTACAACCTCAAGCACTTCATGATACAGTATGACAAGGCCCTTTTGATAAGTGTAGCCTTTTCTCAAAGATGTGGCTACTTTTTATGTGTTTTATGACGACGTAACTTCTGCTTCTTAAAAGTTGTAATACTAGAATTCTTGTTTCTGTTAGGTGTTCGGGTAGGGTGGAATAATGGTGAATTATTAATTTTTCACCTTATTCTTCATTCTATTACTTGTAGTCAAAGCCCAAAATATCCGGGCAATTTTGCAAATAATGTAAGATTACTCAGGGAAAGGATTTTGATCTCTTGACATTATAGTTCTGTCAACTTCTGATTTTTTTAATATCAAAGTTGGGCAATTATATTCATTAGATAGAATTACAATTTACTATTAGAAATATAAACACTATTATTATCTATACTCCTTTTGTTATCTAAAATTAAACTTTCTTTGGTATTATGTTTATGGAAAAAATAAGGATCATGTTGCATATATAATGCTATAGAGACAATTATTGTGGAGTTTACTATTTTTAAAATAAAAAGAAAAGAAAAAAATGTAACACAAGTATCCATATATGTGTTAGGAAACTCAACTTTTGTCATGCAATATGACAAATGCAAAACCCTATGTTTATATATATGAGTTTGATGTTTGTCATTTTAAATGACACAAGTTATATTATTTTAGGAAAGAGATAGACACAAGAAATGAAAATTATGGGAGAGAAAGTGATTGTTTTTTTTTTTAATTTAAATTTTAAATAAAAAATTTATTATGTGTCTATCTCTCTCTTAAAATGATATTAACTTTATGTCATTTAAAATGACAAATACTTTTCCCATATATATATATATATATATATATATATATATATATATATATGTGGGCTTAACATTTCTGCAGCAGCCGTAGATAGTGTTATCTACAGCTGACACAGAAAAGTGGGGCCCACGGCTTTTAAAAAAAAAAAAAAAAAACTCAGGATCCGTTGCCGTATCCTAGGATTCGAACGTGTATCCTTGCTTGTTGTAGGTACAGCAGCTGCAGAAATCATTTTGCCTATATATATATATATATATATATGGTTTAACATTTTTGCAGCCGCCGTAGATAACACTCTCTACAGCTGACACATAAAAGTGGGCCCCACGGCGTTTAAAAAAAAAAAAAAACAAGGATCCGTTGCCATATCCTATGATTCGCACACGGATCCTGGCTAGCTGTAGGTGCAGCAGCTGCAGAAATCATTTTGTCTATATATATATATATATATATATATATATATATATATATATATATATATATATATATATATATACATATACATATACTCGTGTGATGGACGTGGTTTGATTTAATTTAGTTTTCTATGCCGGATTGAATTGAATCGACAAAGTAATAATCGGTTGGCAAAGCTTTTCAAACATAATTCTATATCCATCATTCGAATGATTTGAACATGAGATCAATAGTTAACTAGTTTGATTTAAAAAGTATTGTTAAACTTGAATTGATTATTGATTCTGTTGGGATATTGGTTTTATACCAGTTCTAATTATTTACATTCTTGCTATTAACCAAGGTTGTTAAAATTGAGATTTTAAATAAAATCAGAAGGGGCTAAAAAATTATAAAAATATAAAAACGTTTGGAATATTCACAAAATCGTTTTGATAAAAAAAAATCGTAAAAACGTAAAATCTCAGTAATAAATCAAAATTTTAACAACCATGCCATTAACATATTTTTTTAAACTCTTTTTCTAATGCATTCTTTATTATGACGTGAAATCATCCGCTAGGTGAATAAATATTTTGGATTTACTCTCTATTAGTGGAACATGTATGAATTTTCACCAAATAATAAAGAATTTGTTTTAAAAAAAGAGTTTAAAGAGCTTTTGCCCTACCCATCCAGCTTTGGTATAGCTTGAGAGAAGTTATAATTTTCACCTAGATTAAGGATCCAAAGATTCTGGCAATATTTTAGTGACAAAGGTATTTCTCCCAAGAACTTATTGCCATTTAAATGAAATGAAATGAGATTAGAAAAGGAGGCCATTGAGTGAGGAATCTTGCCAGTTAGGTTATTCTCCCTCTAATGAACATGACGCAACCATTTCAAGTCATTCCAACATTCTGTGAGTTCTCCAGATAAAAGATTATGGGACAGGTCTAACGACATTAAATTGCTTTCTTCTCTAAGTGACACAAGAGAGTAGAAATGGACCCAAACAAAGAGTTACTATGTAAATTCAAAACAATCGCTTTAGATGATAATCAAGGCAACCCACCTCCCAAATTATTGGAATTCAACCAAACAAATTTCGAGTTTAGAAACACATTTGACATGTCCCCATTGATTGTGTTGTAGGAAAGAGACAAAAATTCAAGTTGAGTAGCAAAGTTCCAAAACTTGTCAAGAGGTTCCAAAGCCTCCTCAGCCTCGCCAAAATCCGAAGTTCCGGGAATAATGGAGTCGTCCTTCACAGCATAAGTAACATCCATTCCATCACTAATTAGGCTCGAGTTTAAAACTTGAGCTTCCTTAATGGCATTTCAAAGCAATGTGTAGCCAACTCTCCACCATATCCCGGACCTCATCAAAATTAGCTCGCACTTTGTTAAGCTCAGCCTCCTTTTCTTCTAGACTCTTTAAATAAGTCTCTTTTTCTTTGGCCAAGACCTCAGCAGAAAGGTGTGCCGTCTTCAAATCATCCTCGGCCTTGGAAAATTTCAGGCTAAGATCCTAAACCTTCACCTCTAGGTCAGCCTTCAATCCTGAAAGCGCCTCCTTCAACTTAGAGAGCTAGTCCACCTTGACAGAAAGCGTTAAACTAGAAGCATAGGATGAATCTAGTCTCTGATGGAGATCCTGAAAGAATTGAATTAATGAAGTCATCTTTAAAGACTCTTTCTCCATCTGAGCTATTAGAAGGTAAAAGAGAGTAAAGAGAAAATATTGATTTCATTGATTGTGGTCAATTAATTTGTACAATGAGTGAGCTCTTATATAGAAGAGCATAACAGAAAAGAGAGATCTAAACTACCCTTATACATAATATCCAATACTCCCCCTCAAGATGGAAAGTGAACAAAGAGAACTTCCATCTTGAACAAGAAAAATCAAGAAAACATCATAACCAAATAAAAAATCCTGAATGAGAAACCAAAATCTTCAGTGTGCTGGAATGAGCTTCAGCGAAATCAACGGCGCTGGTATGGACATCAGATAAGGAATAAGGGTTGGGATGGACATCAACCACAAAATACCAAACGGTGCCGGGATGGCATCGGCAAAATCAAATGTTCTGAAATGAACATCAGCAAACTTGAATAACATCACAAACATATGTGAGAATAAAATCTAAATGGCCAAATACAAGCCAGAAACATACATCAGAAAAATCAAAAAACCAAAAAAATAATAGTGTTGTAAAAACATCCATGAGCTCCATGAATCTTCACAAACCTGCAAAATGAGAAGAGAAAGAAAACAAAAGACTGGAACAGATCAGAAAAAAATATTAGAAAATAAACACCACCGTGGAGCGGCTGGAGAAGAAGAAAACACAGATCAAAAAAATTTAAACGATCTGGAATGGCAGAGACGAGACACCGTCAGAGAAGGAGACTGTGACCGGAAAAAATGGCCGGAAATGATGACCGGAGAAGGAGACACGACCGGAAAAAGAGAAACACGGCCGGAGGAGATAAAAAGACACAGATCTGAAATGTGAACGATCTGGAACAACGGTCGGAGAGATGGATGATGCGACCGGAGAATAAGACGTGGTCGGAGAGGATGACCGGAAAAGAGGAAGACGCAGCCGAAAAATTCCCAGATCTGAAACAAAAAAAAAACAAAAACAAAAAAATGCAGCTAAAAATAATGACCGGACCAAGCCGCCATGAATGGCGGAAACATCAACCAGAAGAAAAAGATGTCAGATCAAAGAGATACGAATAAGAAATCAAACTGGGAGCAGATCTTGCGAAAAAGAAGAAAAACTAGATCACGACCAGATCTGGACAAAAAAAAAAAATAAATGGCCAAAAAGACACTAAAACGCGCCGCCATAGGCGAGAAAGAAGACAAACAGACCATGAACAAGTCTGATTAGAGTAAGAGATACCAAACAGAACCAAAAAAACAGATCAGAAAACATGTTGATCAGATTTGACTAAAAAAAATAATAGAAGAAATGCAAGAGCATAACAGATCGGCAATGGAAGACGACCAAAAAGAACCTTGGCCAAAATCACTATTGGAGAATACAACCGGAGAAGGAGGAGATGCGATTGACAATGGTAAAAGCATCACAAGAGAAAAAGACACCATCAGAGCAAAAAAAAAATAGATCCGGAAAAGAAAAGGAAAAAAATAATGAGGTGAATAAACACGTCAGGTGTGATAATCGAAATTAGAGAAAAAAAGAAAAGGAAAAGAAAAAGTAAGAGAAAGAAAAGTGTTATGATGTAGCTTTGATGATAAAAAAAAATTCACAGATCGGGATTAGATCCGGAAGAAAGGAAACAAAAAGGAAGAAGAAGAAAAACAAAAGTGATTGCAGCGGAATCTCCATTCATGGAGGATAAAAATGCTCTGATACCATATTAGAAGGTAAAAGAGAGTAAAGAGAAAATATTGATTTCATTGATTGTGGTCAATTAATTTGTACAATGAGTGAGCTCTTATATAGAAGAGCATAACAGAAAAGAGAGATCTAGAATATTATTAAAATACTAAACTACCCTTATACCTAATATCCAATACGAGCTAACATAGTCTGCATGTCAGCAGTAAGAGGCGAACCTCTCATCAACTGAGGAGGAGGCTTCAAGATAGCATGAAGATGGTTCGAAAGTCCAGTCTTCCATAATTCTCCAGGTTCTAGAAACATGGTGTAACACCCCGTGTATACCCGGTTTGTTAACATGTCATTGTATTAAGCCATGCTTAATTAAAAATGCGGAATATCTTTTTCTTTTCAATTATGACGTCATTAAACATAGCCAAGTTGATTACTTAATCAATTTCATAAAAACATCGCCTATATGTAAATTGCAAAAGACAGCTAACTGAAATACCTCATAGATAAATAAGTGAGTATCTAAGTCACGGCTCTACCACACGTAGTCCGGACAATATCTTGATACA